TGAAAGCAATATATTTAAACATAAATAAAGCTATAATGTAGCACAAATGAAGTGATTTATAACACAGGTTAAAGTAGGCAAAAAGAAGAAAAACTAGAAAGAAAAAAGAAATGGAGAAATATGTGTGACATCTAGTGAGATGTCATTGAGGACAGCCTTTCCTTGATAGTATGTGTAAGAACACATGAGATGTGACTCAACTATAATATGCCTGGTCTGTCACCAACCCCTAGCGGTGAAGGTCTTACTACGCATTTGGCAATGGCAGATACAGGGACATAATAAAGCCATGTTCTCAGAGTTCACACATCTGAAGAGAACTAGAAAGCTCTGAGACCATGTTAGAAAACACAACTACTATATAAGACATTAATATAGTTTTGAAAAGATATTAACTAATCCTGGAAAAAGTTAAAATTTAATTTTTTGTCTAATAAATATGATTTCCATGACTTTCATCATATTTTCAATGTAAGTCCCCCCCTTTCCTAATTATACATATGTTTGGTCTACTAATCATGCCAAAATAATTTATTTTCATTTACCTGGAAATACGCCGACATAAACGTGTTATCCACAACTATGATAATGTCTCCATGCTTATGGACAATGTGTGCACAGGCTTCAATGTCGATCATCTTCAGGCTGGGGTTTGTGGGGGTTTCGAGCCAAACAAGCTAAGATCATTCAGTAAATACAATAATTTATAAAAATATTCTTCAACACGTATCTCATACATTGTAACAACCTGGGTAGCTACTATGTAATGGAAATGCCTGGATGATGAAGTTGAAAAGTTCAAATCTGAATCCTCACCTCTCCTGCAATTTCTGAGAGGCCAGAGCTAAGTAACTTATCCTCTTCATCAATGTAACGGGCTGTTAATACTTACAGAGCTATTGTAAGTATCAAATAAGATAACGTATGTATAAGCCAAAAAAAGTGCTAACATTAATTATTCTAATTATTTTCCAAAGACATAGTTCAGCATCTAGAAATTTTGTTCTCAAAGACAAATAACATAGACTATATGAGAATACATCCCATAATTTTCATTAAAAAGATTTCTCCCTATGATGCCAAAAAACATTATTTATTTTATTTATTATTGTTTTAAATTTCAGATTAATATAAGGGTACCTACATCTAGGTTATATTGTTTTCATTTGTTAGGTAAACTCCAACTTGTAGTTCAAAAATATCTTTCATATGAACTTAAATAATGCCAAATGCACTAGAAACTATAGGCACCTATGGGTTTTAGAAGAGCATGGGCTTAGACTGAAGGATAAAAGTGACAGAAAACCTAATTATAGTTCCCTTTAAAAACAGATAATATGGGGCGGCGCCTGTGGCTCAGTGAGTAAGGTGAGCCACAAGGGTGGCGGGTGCAAAGCCAGCCAGCCCCGGCCACACTGCAACAAAAAAATAGCATTGTGGCAAGTGCCTGTGGTCCCAGCTACTCTGGAGGCTGAGGCAAGAGAATCACCTAAGCCCAGGAGCTGGAGGTTGCTGTGAGCTGTGATGCCACAGCACTCTACCAAGGGCAATAAAGTGAGACTGTCTCTTAAAAAAATAAAAGAG